TGGAGCTCACTTGGTAGCCCAGGCTGGCCTCGAACTCACAGAGATCCGCCTGCCTCTGCCTCCCGAGTGCTGGGATTAAAGGCGTGCGCCACCATCGCCCGGCTCAGAGTATATTCTTAATTAAAGGGAGTGAAGGAACACACACACACACACACACACACACACACACACACACACACACACGTTTAGTTCTCAGTATCTGAGGCATTTTGTTCTAGAGCCTTCTAAGGACCCCAACATTTTTGGATGCTCAAGTCTCATATATAAAAATGGCCCTATATATGTATACTACAGTTGTAACCCTCCTGTGTATTCTTAAAAAAGATTGACTTGTATTGTGCTTGTGTGTGTGTGTGTGTGTGTGTGTGTGTGTGTGTGTGTGTGTGCTGTATGAGGTCACTGCTTGTTTCATCCAGCAGAGGGCGTCAGATCCCCTGGGCCTGGGGTGGTTGTGAGCAGCAGCAAGTGCTGTTAACTGCTAAACCACCTCTCCAGTCTCCCTTCTGTGTATCTTAAATCATCATAGATTTATACTTACAATACTGAATCTAGTGTAAGTGGTTGTTTTTCTGTCTTGTTTAGAGGATATGTACATGCTCAGCACAGACATAATTTTTATTTTCTCTAATATTTTTAATCTGAAGGTGGTTGAATCCACGGTATGGATACAGAGGGCTGAGCCGGCATGTGTGGGGTGTGTGTGCTTAAACAGGGAAGCATGCAAAGACTGAGAGCTGGGCTTTGATTTCACATTTCCCACACAAGCTTCTTGAATTGAGTGTGGAAGATTGGTCCTTGGAGAGAAACGGCCCGCACCGTCGGGATAGCGTGGTGAGTGGCGCTACTGCCACCTACTGGCTGCCTGGGTTTTAACAGCGAAAGGAGATTTTTATTCTTAAAAGTCTGTCTTCTGAATTTAAGATCTTTAAATCAGGAAGTAAAAATAATCAAGTTTGTCCAGCACACTGTGGTCACACCTACAGGAAAAGAGCAGTTTAAAAAAATCTTAATTATTGTGGGCACTTAGGTTGTTTAAAGTTAGAAACGTGGAAGAGTGATGTGCACAAGTGAGTGTGTTCAGAGGAGCCACCAGGCTGGAAAGGAGACAGGAGTGTGTGTGTGTAGGCAGTGGGGGGCGGTTGGAGGGACTGAGAAAGACATGGCTGAGGCGGGCTGCTGACGGGGTCTTAGGAAAGGGTTTGTGGCAGAGGGGAGTATTATTTTGGACAAGGCCAGGCCAGAACCACTGGGTGGCGCTCTCAATGAGAAAAATATTGGGTCTCATTCAGAATACAGACAGCTTTTCTGATACCGGCTGCTCTGAGTAAATGGTCCCAGATCACAGGTGCATCCCTTACGAAGTGAGAGGGCGAGCCTGGAGCTTGCTAGTGTTGCTCCTGGATCCCGTGTGGTCGGATAGTTGGTGGAAATCTGATGAGTTTGGCAATGTTCTTTATTTTATTTTATTATTTCGTGTGTGTGTGTGTGTGTGTGTGTGTGTGTGTGTGTGCTGTGTCTGTTACTGTGATCTCAGCTTTGTCGTTACATAAAGAGAGTCCACACAAAAACATAGCTCTCACCTCAAAGGGAGTAAGAGATAGTTCATTCTGGAGCCAGATATGAATGACCGTACCTGGACACATGCATTCAGGGTACCCCGAATGCCATGTTCCAGTGTGGTTAACAGTTTTGGGAAGTCTTTGTAGTCACACCACAAAAGGAAGTCATAAACCAAGGCACTTTCCAAATCCATTGTTAGGAGCTTTGGGCAGGCAGGGGACCCTCTGCTCTAGGTCCCAGGTGCTCTGTGATGACACCCTTAGCTGTGGAGTTGTTGAAAGCTAATGGTCTGTTAAGTTACTATGTCGCAGAAGGTTTCACCTGGTAGTCACGAGGGTATTAGGTCAGACACAGCTGGGCAATTAACAGTAGCCTAAGATAATTTGGCTCTGGATCTGCAACATTCCTACTCTCCACCTTCAGCAGGTTCCCACCAGTCTTCCAGCCTTGCAGAGTCTTTAACATGGGTGTGGCTTTTTATGAGAACTTTGGTTCACTGTAACAAAGTCAACAAAGTCACAACGCCATCACCCCAGGTCACATGGGCCTCGTTTTGAAAACTACATACCGAATTAGTCACTGTGGAATGCTGAATTCCCACTTTAGTGGAGAAGTGTGTTTTTATCTGTCAACACCTGGTACCTGGAGGAAGAGGCACATTGGAGCTAGGGGCGGCCTGTAGGTACAGCTGCTGCCAAGGATGTTTACTTTCTTTCCCTTGAAGTCTGAAAGCTTGTCTCTGTCACCGCTTCACCTTCCCCAAGGCTGGGACTCCTCAGGGATATCTCCGGCCATTTTTTGGTCCTATTTTGGTGATAACGGCTTTGAAGGAAGTGTCAATGTGAGCTTATTGATCAGCCCCAAATATCCAGCTGTTGCTGCTGAATCTCTTTAAAAAAAACTTCTTTGTTCAGCAATATGTTTTCCCTACCTCAGTAGAATATTTGTTTGTTTGTTGTTTTGCTTTTGTTTTTTGAGACAGGGTTTCTCTGTTTTAACAGTCCTGGCTGTCCTGGAACTGACTATGTAGACCAGGGGCAGACCTCGAACTTGAGATCCGACAGCCTCTGCCTCCTGAGTGCTGGGATTAAAGGTTCATGCACCACCACTCCCCGATGTGAATATCACTTTGAAGAGCAGTGGTCCAAACAAAAGTGATTGTCCCGGCTTTTGCTGTCTTTTGG